GAATTCGTGCTCCCAGTATATTTTTTCAGACAAGGTGTCCGCTCGAGCGGCGAAGTTCATGCTCGAGCGGGGAGCTATGTAGACAAACCTTCAGCTCAGGCACCCGACTTCACGCTCGAGCGTAAATTTGATGCATCCAGTACTTTTGCAGACCCCATGGGTCCGCTCGAGCGGGGACCCTGTTTTTGAAAATTTTAAAAAGGCATTTTGGCTGGTGGTGGAGGACTAGGGGCAAGGCTGAACCCCCCAAGCATTCTGAGCTTAGCCCTTATACTTTCCGTGAGGTGTTCTGGTCTCATCTCGAACGTGTGGCCAAGCTGGGCATCATTTCCCCTATCTGTTCAACTACCAGGCCATGGTGATGGCCTCCATTGGTTGTGTCCTGACCATCTTTCAATCCTACTCCGTATCTGGTTGCCATTGGTTGGCTATCCGCAATGACCTCCATGTCTTCCCTGAACTCAGGAAAGCCAGTAGGGACATCTGTATCTTTAGCAGGCCTCTTAATTAGATCTCCATGAAGGCCTGATTCGTTAGCAACTTTCTTGTTGGCGTTAGTAGTCTTAGTTTTTTCAGTCTTCTTCTTTACCATTACTCCAAGTTGGAGTGGTCCAACTGGGCGTGCCAATTTAAGTTAGCAAAAATTTAGTTCAAGCCCAATTGATAGTGATTGATCGACAGATTTAAATAAATTTCAAGTAAACACAAATAAAAATCATGCTTTGTGCTTGAGTTCTATGTCATAAACAGATTAAGGACTTCCCTAGAGGTAATTAAGTAAATAAGGATTTGAACAGAAAAGAATATATATTTATTCAATTAAATTGTCACCAGCTATCAGTTACAAGAACAAAAAACTAAAAAATACTTCAATCAACAGAAAGAAAAGTGGGGGTTGGAAAAAAAACTATTTCTAATGTACTCCTAAAATGGCTAATATAGAACTACTTTTAAATAATTTTTCAAGAGTGTGGTTAAGGGTTGTTAATTGATTCCTTCCATCATTCCTCAAGTCTTCCTTTTATACTTGCTTGGCTATCTCATGTTGTAGTCATCAATCCATGATCTTCCTTGATCTTTGCTCCACTTGACATAAATGTGTAATTTATGTGAATGTATCTGTGTTAGCCATCTATCAATTGCTAATCTTTTAGTCATTGTTCATGGTTGGTTTAGTGTATTTCTACTGGGCTGTGGCTCACCCTATATGGGAATATCATTTTCAGGTACAGGTAACATGCCACCTCCAAGGACATAGCTGGGAGGCTAGAGGTGAACATACTTTTGTCGCTTAACTTTTGATGTATTACATTTAACTTCAAGCCAAGGGTTTAATGTGTAAACGAGTTAGTACTCTTTTGTTGTAACCATGTGTTAACTTGGAAAGCTGTAAGCCCGTAGGGCATTTTGTTTTGATGTTAAGATGTAATACTCATGTAATGGAACTCTGTTGAATAAAAGAATGTGGTTAGTTTATATGTAAATGCATGTCTTATCTGATGGGTTTAATGTTGTTTTTTTTTTAGGGCGTTACAATATATGTGTGTGTGTGTGTTTGTATATGCAAAATATATGATTTAACAGGGGAAAACATAGTGAAATGGAAAATTACAAGGAAAATGATGAGAAAATTGATGGAAATGAACGAACCTTTGGTACTAGACCTTGAGTTGTAGTAATTGTGAGAGTGATTGAAGAAAGTGATTGTAACTGAGTGTTTCCTCTAGTCTTCAGGGCTCTATTTTACACCTTATTAATCAAAATTACCTTGTGTCTTATTTGATTCAGAAAAATACGAGTACATCCAATTTTGGACTCATTTCCAGACATTTTACGCAGAGCTTGGCTCATGAGACATGCTTGCAAACCCATCTGCTGCATTCCAATTTCCCCCTATGTACAACAAACAGACCCAAGGATGTGTCAGGCATTAGCAATCTTGTCAACTTCTGTATTCTGAAAATAAAAACAATGTAACTTACTTCAATCTCAGCTCGTGAACATACGATCTGCAACTGAGGCAACAAAAAGTTTAAAAATTATTTACAATATGATCTTGGCTTGAAAAGATCAAGCTGCATCTGGGGGTCCTCAGCTACAAACTCACCATGGAATGGTCTAACAAGAAAAAAAAAAATGTTTTATAGTATCAACAAACTAGAACTCCAGATTGCACAAGAAAAAGATGGTACATGGGGCCACATACCTTAAATTTTCAAGACAAATGACTTGAAAACGGCCATCCAAATGCCTCCCTATGGAAGGTCCAAGCCCGTGAAGACCAGAACTTTTACTTACAGAACCATCATTTTCATTTGTTTCCAGAGCTTTAACACCATCATAAGTCTTGCAGACAACTGCCAACATAGTTTCTATACCCAAGTACTCCGAGAGAAGCCTGACTCCAGAGTTGGGAAAACAGAACATGTCAAGTATACTATAGATCACTAATAACAGTAAGACTCTCTGACTACACCTTAATCAACATGCTGTAGAAAGTCTACCATCCATGAGCCAGTAAAGTTAGCAAAGCATCTTAACATCAGAACTGCCAAGACATCAATGTAACAACAACACTCATTGCACCCATTAAAAAACACACGACCATGCAAACTTCAAATAAACCTAATAATATACAAAACATTTACCAGAATATAGCTATTCAATCACTAGAGCTATATATCATTAGGATGGGACAATTAATTCTCTACCATGTCCATGTCAAAATGGCTGAAAAATGATCGAACACAGCTAAATACGAAGCAATGACAATAGTACAAAGTAAACAATTAAAAACACAGAAGACTGCAATTTCAAACCAACCTGCTGAGATTGTCATCATCCACTTTCCCAAGTGTAGCAACACTACCCAACACATCCTTGGTCAACAGAAGATTAGAAGCCTCATTGCCATGGCAAGTTTTCAGCAAGCACAAAATGCCAGCTGCGGATTTCTCGTGCCCTATAATATGTTCTAATGGTTGCTCCTCACTGTCCACACCAGTATCATCCCCGTCTTCCATCATAGGCATACTTGATGAATGATATTTCCCAAGATTAATTAGGATAATAATTATCAGGAAAAAATATAAGCAAATATATAAGCAAATGATACAAGTAAATCATACATTATCGCAAGAGAATCAAGATCTTAACTTCTTCAAACTCAAAATTATTTCGCTTCCAAATTTTGAATGCAGATCTTACTAACGTAATAACTTAATTCCATGTAATCGTAATAAGAAAAGCATGAAGTTGATCTTCAGTTTGAACAAGGGGTACGATAGAAATTGGTAAAATTTAATGAGTTATGCTCATTAGAAATGCATTATTGACAAAAACCAATCACACTCATGGAGCGCACTATGTGGCCTCTGCTTAAGGACTTAGGGCACATAATTTTTGCTAATTGGCACTTGAATCCTGCATCTTCCCTTTTGCTATGACAACATATACCAATCAAGCTAATTTCTGGCAGTAACTTCTTTTCTTTCTTTTTTTTTTTTCAAAAAATGTAATATCTTAAAACATTTAATTAGAAAATTAGACAGTAAATTTTACATGGACACTGACACAAACTAAAAATTAGAAAATAATATACCTTGCATGTCGAGAATGAAGTCATCCAAGCTGTTTTTCTGAGACTTCATATTTTTTATGGCGCTGTTTGGGAACATAGTTTTTTGGTTTTTTTTTCACTAAAAGACAAATTGGTTACAAAACTGAAAAAAAAAAAAAATTCCAAACAAAATATCACATCAAACCCCATAATCATTTCACTTTTTCTCTCACAAACATCGCATCCAACCACAGAAAAAAAAAAAAACCCAACTATCTTTCCAAACACAAAAAAAAATTTCTCCAATAATATCCTAGAACTAAAAAAACCTACAAAAAAACTTACTTCCCAAACACCCACTATATTGTCTTCATGCTGTTTTAAAGCAACACAAAATTACTCCAATTGACCAACTCCCACTGATAATGTATATAAACAGTCTAACAAGATATATGCACCATGAACAACTTTGTCACAACCAGGATGAGAACTAAAACATGAGATTCATTGACCATAACATTATGACACAACTTCAAATAATCCCTAACAACCTTAGAAGTAAACAAAACTGTTTCTCCCTGACAGAATGCTCCATTTTGCACTTCATCCCTTGGAGTTAGACAGGAATCATTTTGACAAACATTATGGAAGATTAGAAGAGAAAGGAGTAAATTACCTGCTGAGCCAATTGAGGAGGGAATCCCATAACCCCATTTTGGAGAAAACGAGAATTTCAGATGAATCGAATGGAGTTGTCAAGAAAACCCTTTTTCTTTTTGTTTTTGAGTTATGAGAATGCAATTCAATGCAAAACAAATCAAAGCATCATGTTTTGTAAATTGAATTGAAGAGAGAGAGATCTGAAACTGATTATACATACATATATATATATATATATATGAGAGAGAGAGAGAGAGAGAGAGAGAGAAAAGAGAAATAAAGGTTGCGTTTGGTAGAATTTTGTAAATATGATTTGAGAGTATGACTTATATTTTGAGTTTGTGAGGTGTAGAATTATGATTTGAGTGTAGAAAATCTGTTTGGTTATGGTTTTTGAATAGAGTGTTGAATTGAGTTTTGAATTGTACGTGGAATTGAGTTTTGAAAGTTTGATGTGACATGTGAAATAAGAAAATTTGTTTGGTGATGAGTTTTCAAAACTTAATTCAACCAATAATTGATAATCAAACACAGAACTCATAACTCGATATCCGTATTTTTGATCAACAGTCATAACCAAACTATTTTTAAAATATTCAAATAAAAAAATGATTTTTTTTTCAATTAATTGTTTTTAAGTAATTTTTTTGAATATCTTTAAATTATTAAATTCATTTATTTTGTTTCTCAAATTTTTGATTTCCTCAGGTAGATCAATTAAAGAAACTAGTCCACGTCAGTAATGTTGGAATTCTGATTTGAAGCATCATATATTAAATGCTTCTTTTTTTTTTTTATTACAACTAAATATTCATCTTCATTATTTCTTATATTGGTGAACCTAATTCAATTTACAACACAACAACACTCATACTCAGTAGCGGAGCCATGCAAGGACGAGGGGGCCACGTGCCCCCCTTAGATTTTGTGATTTTTTTTTAACTAATATATAAAAAATATTTAAAATAAAAATTAAGTTGTTTTTGAGTTTTGAAAAGAGTTTTGAGTTGTGTGTTTGGTTAAGAATTTTGAAAAGTAATGATTATAGTTTGAAATGAGTTTTGAGAAATGTGTGTAGAATTATGATTTGAAAGTTGCAACCAAATATCACACTCAAATCAGTGGTGGAACTGTGTTTTGAAATCTAAACCAAACAGAGCCAAAATTAGGTTTTCTGATTCTCCCACTACATTCCACCCCTACTGCACATCCCAATTGTCGCCTCTGTCGATTCTAGCCTCTAAATTTGGCCAGCGAACTCAATGTCAAACCCCTTCGATTGCGTCTTCTCGATTTCAGAGAATGGCTGATGGTTTGCGGTCGTGATATCAATGGCGCTGGTGGTCATGTGATCCTGTACTGACAACGGTGGAGAGAGAGAGGGGGGGAGGAGGAGGAGGAGGAGGGGGGAATGAAAAAGAGACAAGCGAGATAGAGAGAGAATAAGAAGCGTTTTTTTTTTTTTGGTCTATTAGCCACGACACAAGAGGCCATGGCAAAAAAAATCTTTTTGCGAAGGAGAAAAAGCCGTCTCAAAAAATAGGTCTTTCACAACGGCCAATAGTTTGCATCGCAAAAACCATCCAACATATCCTTCCATCTTTTGAGACAGGAAATGCTATCGCAAAAAGTGATTATTGGCGACGGGGTATTAGCTGTCGCAAAAGGTTACTTTTTGCGACAGTTAATATGCCGTCGCAAAAAGTTCCATGTCTTATACCCATTTTTCTAGTAGTGTGGGTAGAGCACAACAGATGGGGTTGATCAAAAGGGCAGCAATTGGATCAAGTGAATTTAAGATCACTAATCTGCAATTTGCATATGACACAATTCTATTCTGTGAAGCTGATTGGGGGGAGGTGATCAACATTAGGAGGATTTTGAGATGTTTTGAAATGTTGTTAAAAATTAACTACCACAAGAGTGTAGTGTGTGGCATTGGGTCAACTAAAGAATTATCCAAGGAGTTTGTTGACAACCTGAACTGTCTACATCAAAGTTTGCCTCTAAAGTATCTAGGTCTACCTCTGGTTGCAAGTCCAAGGAGAAAAAGGACCTGGCAGCCAGTCTTAGACAAATGTAAACAAAGACTTGCTTCGTGGAAGAGAAGATTCCTATCTTTTGTTGGTAGGATGACATTGATAAAATCTGTGTTGTCTAGCTTACCAATTTATTATTTATCTTTGTTCAAGATGCCAAAATGGGTTGCTAAGGAATTTGTGACAATTCAGTCCAATTTTCTATGGGGTGGAGATGGCCTTAGAAGAAAAGTACATTTGGTCAAATGGAAAGTCATTTCAAAAAGCAAAAAGCAGGGGGGATTAGGTATCAAAAGGATTAGACTTATGATCGCCTCTTATTGAAATGGTGGTGGAGGTTTGGAGCTGAAACAAATGCTTTGTGGAAACAGGTGATAGGCAACAAATACAAGTAGGTGGGTACTCTGTGGTGTCAAGAATCTGCTGATAACCTTAGGAAATCAAGTATCTGGGCTGATATTTTCGGTGTTGCTAGAACCAGACCTGAATTGGTGGAATTCTATAAAAGCAATTCTACTACAGTGCTTGGGGATGGGAAAAACACTCTGTTCTGGATTGATAAATGGTGTGGCAATGTGTGCTTGATGGAAGACTTTCCTAGGCTCTATTCCTTATCTTTGGATAAGTTTGAATTTGTGAATGTCATGCACATCAGGAGAAATAGCGAGGCAGAGTGGAACCTCAACTTCAGAAGATCACTTTTTCAATGGGAGGTGGAGGAATTGAATAGATTGAAAGTGCTGTTGATTAATGCACCTGCTATTCGGGAAAATTTGGTTGATTCTTTGAAATGGAATGCAGACCCATCAGGAAGTTTTACTGTTTCTTCCGCTTATAAATGGTGCAATAGTTCATTTGGTTCAGTGTGTATAGTAGCAGATCTTATATGGAACAATGTATCTCTACCTAAAACTCAATTTTTTGGTTGGTTGGCATGGAAAGGGAGGATTAAGACTTCCAGTTTTTTGCAAAGAATTAAAGTGCTCTCTGATGTGGCAAATGTGAACTGCATTTTTTGTAATGTGGATGTGGAGAGTGTTAATCATGTCTTACTGGTTTGCCCATTTGTCTAGAAGGTTTGGACCCATATTCTAAAATGGTGGGGTATGCAATGGGTTCAACCTGGTACTGTTCAGAGTTTATTGGAATGGTGGGCTGGTACTAATCTGAATAAACAAGAGAGGGTGTTCTGGAAGGCCATGCCTTTGGCTGTGCTTTGGTCCATCTGGAAACTGAGAAATGATTGCATTTTTAATAGCATTCATCCAGATCTTGAGGAGCTGTGTGAGGTCATTAAAGTGAGGGTTGCATTGTGGAGCAAAGCTGCTGGTTATTCTTTCTCAGGATTTTCAGTCACTAATATTATTTACAACCTGCAACAAGTAAGGTTCTGCAGTAGGGGTGTTGGCTGAGCAAATATTTCTTACTTGGGATGTCTTCAGTTACAGGGGTGTTCCTAATTGTCCTTCCTGCTACTGTCCTGTTCTTGTTGGACTGTTTGGGTGAGAGGTTGTAGGGTGCAAACCTGAGGTTGTATACTGCTGCTTGTATGCTCCATTGCTGTTTGGTTGAGGAAAAGTTACTTTACTGTTGTTGGAAGCTCAATGGTTTGGTGTTGGTATAAAGTTCTGCAATAGGGGTGTTTTGATATGCTGTGGTGGTGGCTGCTGGTCTTTGGTTGTTCACCTGAGTGCTGGTGTGTTTGTTATTGATGTTCAACTTGCTGGGGGCTTTATGTTCTGTGCTTGTGAAAGCTATACGCAGGGATGCCTTGTACCTCTGTCTG